AAAAATATTGAAAAATCAAAACTAGATGGAAAAAAAATTGATTGAATAATATTTAATATAATTTTGTAATTGAATAATTCACAATCACTGTTCAATTCACGATTAATCTTTTCTATACAGTTTCAATATTCATATGCCTTCTTATTTCAAGATAAAAATTCAAAATATAAAAATAAAATATCACTCACAATTATTCTCCAATGAACTGATGGTTAATAATTCTTCGTGTTCGAGCAGGAATTCAACAGCCTCTACAAATTCTTGATCAATAGCTCGAAGAAGGGCATCCTTCGTCTCTATACCCATTACTACTAATAATTTTACCATTTCTAGATTTTCTGAATCGATTGACAAGCACAATGCATCACGGCCCAAACTGTCCACGCAATTGATGTCTATTGATTTACCCTGAAAGTAAAAAAAAATGGATTATTGGAGATGAAGAAGTATGATAGATCTCAAATAAAGGGAAAAAGTGAATTTTCAAGGGACTCACGTGGCTTTTGTTGGCATATTGGATGAATCTTTTAACATTTACCAAATCACCGCGTTCTACTGCTAATAAGTATTTCTTTTCTTCTATATTGAGTGGCTTTGGAAGGTGAATCATATAGGTGTTTTCCTCGATTGGAGGAGCCTCTACTTCTTTCTCTGTCTTTTCACAGCCCATTGTGGACTACGGTTTTAAAGAGATGTTTAGAGATTGATAACGATAATTATTGAATTGCAAAAAAAAAAAAAAAATTATAGAAAATATTGGTAACATTAGAATTATCGATTGTCAATCAAAATTTGTGTAATTAAATTTGTGAATTTGTTACAGGAGAAATAATAATTGTTAAGAGAATATATTTGATAAATTGTAAATTAAATATTTTGTAATTGCAAAATTTTATTTGAAATATCGAAGCGAAGTTTATAATATATAACGATTAAAAATTAAAAATATGATTAAGTATTACAAGATTATCTTAGGAGAAGCAAACTCATCAAAATAAAATTAATACAATAAATATTTCATATTTTTGTAATCGTTACCCAAAAGCATGCAGCTTTATAATATTTTATAATATTTAAATTTCAATCATTTATCATTATCAAGAATGCAATTTCATTTATCAACATCATCTCTACTACACTCAAGTATATCAATCAAAGCTCGCTATAAATTCGTCCATTTGAAGTATAAAATATTCAAATCAACTACACAACCACCATTCCTCACAATTCTCTAAAAACAATTACAATATCTCGTACTCGTTCACTTTTCAATTTCCAAAGATTCCACTTCAATCTACCTTTATCGATTATATCCCTGTTTATATTAAATTTGGATAAATTTCAAATTTGATTCGATTTTATTATTATTTTTCACCGCACACTCATTAATAAGGAATACCGAAATATTCTCGCACCGGAATCTATTTGTGACGAAGAAGAATTTATCCAAGTCTGCAGGCAAACGATGGCGTCGAGTGCTGGTTTCGTTTATATACCGGATGATGGAAATTGAATTACGAGTATTAACCGAGACCCTGTTTATTTACTCGATTGCTTAAGGCGATGCTATACGAGACTAATTTGCTTATCGATATCTCGTTAACTACGTCAAAGGTCCGTTGAATAGTGGTAGGTATAATATGTTGGCGAAAAAAATGTGGTATGATTATCCTTTTCTTAAAAAATATCTTTATTTTACACGAATTCTTGTTTTTTGGTTTCAATTTTTTAAATTGATGAAGACAAAGATGGTAAATGATAATTTAAGATGTAAGAAATTGGAAGAAAAGAGTTGAGAAGATTTGATATGAAAGAATAAGATGGTGATACGATGATGACTTTAGTGTAGTTTGAATAGTTTGAAGAATTGTTGAACAAAAGAAGTATCGAAGTGTATTTTTATATATGGATTTTGAATAATTTATCTTTGGATTCAAATTGTTCTATTTGTTTTTTTTTTTAAAGATACGAATAGATTGATTAAACTTTCGTAGATTTCTTTGAGTATAAAAAAAATATTTAATGTAATTTGTTTATTGATATTTTCAATAACTTCTTATGATTTTTAGATCTTCAAATAAAAGATCGTTCGATGACTTCAAACGAGTTCTAATATCAACGATAAGATCATTTGATTGTTTAAAATTTTGTATAAATATCAAGCGATATAAAGAAGTATCACGAGGACAATATGATCGAATTCATCTTTCTTCTCTTCTCCAAAAAAATTCTTTTAATGCTTTTCATCGTTGTATTTGCGAAACGAGATCGCCCTTGATATTCTTTTCATACAAGAGGATTTCTTCTCTTACCAGGATTATTTTCTCTTATAGCCACTAAAAGTTACGATATCCTTAACTCGTGAATCTTTCAAATCGATTTCTTCACCATCTAACCTTCAATGAAACTTGGTCCGCGATAAAAGATAAATTGCAATATTTCAAGGAAAGTTTGCTACCATATGTCGATAATAATTGATAAATTCTTTGGAAAATGGTGATCTATATTCCCAATATTTTTCAATATGATTTTGAACTTCGCAAGAGTTAAAAAAAATTTCGAAATAACATCACTTCTTTCGTTTCGCTTCTCAAACATTCAAAATTTAAAAATTCTCAAAAATCCAACAAGACAATCTCATAATAATTTCTTTTATCTCATTCATCAAAATTTCAAATTTCTTTTCAACTGATAATAATTTCCACGTGAAAAATGTCGTTTGCAAATTTTTACAAATTATCAAAAATTTAATAATCCTTTAAATTTTTCTTCTTATATCTTCTTCATCCTCCCCAATCCATCTTCGAATTAATTAATTAATTCTTACTCAACGATAAAACGACCAGCATCTTGGAAGAAAGTAGCTCAAAGCAGTGATAAAATATTCAAACAATATTAAGGCCGATTATCCAGTACAACCTGGCTAGTTACAACTGCGAAATTCATTAAACTGGGCCCAATATTAAAATGTTCCCTCTTAAGACTTACCAGGTCGCCAGTTATGAGAGGAACGAGGGGATGAAAAAGAGGCAGCCAGCTGTTTACACTACGGCTTCCATCCACTCTTCCTCTCGTTTCAGTCGACGTTTGCACAATACTTGCACCCACGAGGGTGTTCAACGATCGTGGATCCATCATGGATCCATCTCAGCTTCCATTTCCAACTTCTGCTTACAAACTCTTCGATCACTGTTGCTCGAAGGATGGTTGTTACGATACGATTAGTTGCAGTTGAAGGATATCAACAGGTATTTCGCGAAGGAATATTATTTCTTGGAATTTTTCTCTTTTAAATTTTTTCCTTTTTCATACCTACGCTTTTTTACGTTTCTTTCGATATTTTTATGGTATATTTAAGCTTAAGTAATATAAAGCTTTGTGCTACATTTAATTTTAAGAATTTTGCTTGGTTTGAGATTCTTCTTATATATTTTTATGTTTAAAATTTTCTTTCAGAATCTTTTATTCGATCTTTTATTCTTAAAAACTTCGTTTTTTTAAGTATTGTTAGTTCCTTTTTATTTCATCGTTGAAAGAAATTTTGCATAAAATTTTAGTTTTTGTTCTATATAATTTTTTCAAATATTGATAAATTTTTAATTATGTTCAATTATAATATTATAAAAGTATTATAAAATTATATATATATTATAAATGTATTAAATAATTATTCTTCTTATAATTATTCTTCTTATATTGAACGTAAAAAGAAGTTTGTCGAGGATTGTTAAACACAAGGAAAGTAAATGGACGTGTGGTACTAACTGAAAGAAACTGCAGAATGTCAACAGTCTGGAAACTCGTTTTCCAGGCGCAAAAATAACACGTTAGGTGTTAGACGATTTACCAAGATAAAAAAGATAAAAAAATGACTTAGAATTCATCGTATTTTGTTAAGAATATGAAATGACTTAATTTACAAATTTATTTTATATTTCATTCTTTATTATTTTATTTCTATTAATATCCTTATTTTTATTATTTATATTATATATATTCCCCCTTTAATTTTTCTTTGTTCTCCTTATTTCGCTTTTTCACCAATATAATCTTTCTAATTGCGATCATTTTAATAATAAAAAATCCAAATCTTTATGACTTATACCTATAATTTTTTGTTGTGCAGATGAAATATCATTCTGTCACAAAAATATTAATCTCCACTATTTCAAACGAACAAAGTGATACAAAGAGAGATAAAATAAAAATAAAATCCCCTTTCAAACGTTATAAAGAAACTCTTCGATTTTGATCGAAGAAACCGCACACGAGGGAAAGCGTTTAAAGGAATATCCCATGTCGATGAACCTTCACCATGGACAATCGATAAACCGATTCCGCTTAACAAGCAATTGATGTCAAGCGAATCAATCGCGAAGTGAAAGCATCTTTTTCCACGGATGCGGCTACTTTCTTCGTGTGAGAAAAACGTGATCGTCGAGCATAAAGAGAGAGAGAGAGAGAGAGAAGAGAAAAACGATTTGAAAAAGGAGCCACGCTATGAATAAATCCGTGGTCTCGAATCAAGGCGATCTTCAGTGTCCAATTTCATTCCTATCATGGAATAACAAAATCCTTTCTCAAGATTCGTCATATTTATTCGATTATCTTAAATAATTTAGCATGGTGTCGATTACTTGTGCAAAATTTTTGACAGTTTTGATAAGCTTTTTGATTTTTGTCGACGAATCGTTTGGTGATGGAAAGATGGTGAAGGTTCCTGTGAACTTCCGGTACAGGAAGGACCTCGTGGCTGCTGCCAGTGAGCATGGAGATGAGTATCTTTCGAGCAATCTTTCTTTTTTTTTTAATTAAAGTTTTGCAAAGCAATAGATTAATTTATTAAAGTATAATTAAAGTGATTTACACTTATAAATTTATCCAATTATTTTTTCTATAAACAGAATTATTTTAAAACAATTTTTTAAAATAATTTAAACTATTTAAAAATATAATGAAAGAAAGAAAGTCTTTTTTTTTCATTTTTACGTTAATTCCAAATTATTTTAAACACTTGAGTGATCAAAGGCTTGTTCTCGTTCATTTTCACCTTTCTATTATCCCATTCCTCAATGCGAGAAACTGTAGACTTAATTAATACTAAAATGGAATGTCCTTATAGTTACTTGGTAAACCTTAATAACCCCAATTAACACCACCTTTTCATCGAGTTGGTGGATTCCTTCAGAAACTTTTGGCAAGAAGTGGAAAGCTTTACTCGATAATTAATTCAAACAGGTGGGGGAAAGCACGAGGAGAAGGGTGGTGGTTCAGAGTATCAGGAAGATCATCGTAACTTCGACGAAGAGAAGGGTGACAAGGTATTATATAACTTTATTGTTCGGACAAATCTCTGTATCAAATTCTATTTCGCTTAATTGCATATTCATACAAGTCTTTGCGAAATTATTCCACATATAATAAAAAATATATGCGAAGTATAATCTTTTAAATGGCTTTTATTTATTTAAAATTCATTGGATTGTTAAATAAGATTCGTAAGTTTATACAAATAGATAAATTAAGTATTATATAGATGATAAAAATATAGATATGATTAAATTCTATCATTTCTTCTACAGAAATTTGTTCAAGTTTAAAAATTAAAATATTTATGTACCATGATAATTCATTTTTTTTTTTTTAAATTATAAAACATTTTCTAACGATTCTCTTCTCCATCATGCATAATAATTAAATCAATATTATTTATACTTTTTAATAACATAATCACTCGATTCTTAATTAATTAATTCAAAATCCAGTGTGCAATATCACACACAGCTATAACAAATTTCTCCATCAGCAAGAGACTATTCTTCTCCTGCAGCCACACGCTCGTCATCGCCCAAGACTCTTTTCCCTTTTTATCACCCGTAATATTACTGTCCACCCAATGTTCTCGAGGGATTATTTATTATATGGTCATTGTTGCTCGAACGATATCCTTGCAGCGGTCGAACGACGCTTCTTTCTTCACCGAGAAAATATTCTTAGGTAACAATACCCTTCGCTCTTTTTGTAAGGCCACCCCGATATTGCTTCTCGCGTTTATTTTCGGCAATTAATTCGTCAACGAACTCGTTACTTGTCCGAAATTCCCTCGATATTGTCGTAAAACAGAAAATTTCTTCGCGAAAGTTTTTTCGTGTATCCGATTTATAGTGTCTTACTGTTTATTCTGAAATCTTGGATAATAAAGATTAGTTTTTTAATAAATATTGTCAATTTGATAATGGTATTTTTGTATATCTTTAGAAAATAATAGAGTAATAAGATAAAGAAAAAATGGAGAAATGGAATAGAAGATATGTGACAAATATATAATAATAGAAGAAATAATATAATAGTGTAATAGTATAAATAGTAGAAGAAAAGAATTGGAAATAGAAAAAAATAGAAGAAATATTGGAATAGATGACAGGAAAATAAAAAATTCTTCTTTTATATTAATTTTTCATTATCTCATGAATGTAATTTGTATGTGCATATATCCGAAAACAGGGTTACAAAGTCTTCCACGAATTCGACAAAGGTGAGAAGGGTCACCATGATAAAGAGGATCACAAGAAAGTGTACGACGAGAAGAAGGGGGAAAAAGAGAAGAAACACGAAGAGGAAGATCACTATGATGAAAGTCATCAGGACGAGGAAGGCGACAAAGGTGCAAAATTCGACGAAGAGGGCAAACATCAGAAAGGTTATAGCACCAAAGGAGAGCACAGTGTCTTCAAAAAGGTTTAGATAAAAAAAATCATTAATTTAATTTAAATAATTTTCTATACAAATTTTTCTTTAATTTTATTAAACGATTGTTTCCAAATTTCCATTTTTTAAAGATGAATTTAATTAAAAAATTGTGAAACAGAAGAATAAATGAATATATATATATATACAGGATGAATACGAAAAGAAACATGATTTTTATGATGAATATCACGAGGATGGGGAACATGAGAAACATGGCGGATATCATCACGAACACGAAGGCAAGAAAGGTGGACACGAGAAGAAGGGACACACAGATTCTGCTCGACGCGAGGTTTGTCAATTTCTATAAATTTTACAAACATTTTATCAACATTTCAAAAATTTCTTAAGTGATCAATTAAATCTTTGTAAAATATTTTATAAATAACCTAAAATATATAACAAATTCTTTAAATTTAATATTAATTGGTACATCAGCATCATCATGGTAAGAAGAAGCATCATGAAGAGGGCCATCATCATCGTAAGCAAAAAGGTCGAAAGCTCGATGAAGGTCACAACAGTCATCATCAACATGATAGAAAATATGGAAAGAAGGGTGGACACGAATCGGGGAAAAAATGGTTCGCCAGTAGTGGTCATTAAATTTTTAAATGATGAAGTATGTTTTTTTAAATATGTATCACATATAATAATTTATGCTTAGCCAATTACAGCCATATAAATATGTTAGTACTTAGTTTTACTAATGTGCAAATATTAATTCTTTAAAAGATTGATTCTACAACTAGTCATAACGATGAATATTTACATTTAAAGAAACTTATTTCTATCTACATTGGAATTTTTTAAAGATAATATTGTTTAAAATAATATTAAGAATATAAGAAAAAAAAATAAAAAAAGAAGAAAAAAATATATTACAAAAAATTTTAAATTTATATAAATATACATATTTTTTATTCATATGTAAATTATCATAAATCATTCAATAAAATCATAATTTAGACGTTTATCTATATATATGTATATGTATATAATATCAAATTTTATTTTCACTTTTTTGATTTTCATCCAAACCGAAATTAATCGATCAGCAAATTTAATCTATATGCAATTTCTTGGTAACTTTTGTCGTGACGAAATTCTTCAGAAAACCAAGCACGTTGCAGCTCTCACAATTCTAGAGCAAATACATAAGAACCCGGAGAGGAAATAATCGAACGTGGAAACAGAAAGCACGTGCGTAAATAGCTGTTGCAGGTGTATGGAATTGTGTCTGTTCGTTCACTGTTCGAGGCGATGGTCTTAATAAGTGCTTTGATAAGTGCTTTTCTGGCAGAGAGCAAGAAAATATGTTATTTAAAACGATGTTATTTAAAAAATATTGAAAATTCAATTGCTCACATTTTATATTTTATTTTAATTTGTTAATACTTTTTCAATTTCCTAAGATAATTTTAGTAAATTTAAGTAAAATTTCAAAAAAAATATCAACACAAAATATTCTTTCTTTCTATATAAATTTAAAATAATGCTTGTATGCAGAAGAATAGTGAATGGATTGTTGGAAATTTGAAAAAGTAGTATTGAAAATAAGTGAAATTATCAGAACTTTTGAACTTTTTATAAATAAGAAGAGGAAAAAGTAAAATTCATTAAAAAATATTTAACTGGAATTAAAATAATAAGTATATAAGTATCACAGAAGAAGATTTTCACATATTTTCATTCATCCATTTGAATTTTACTATATTTTTAAATATTTTTAATACAATATAAGAGATGATATTGGATACGAATGTTTCAAATGATAATAAATTTTTTAACCTGTTAAAAAAAATTATGGAACTTTTTGTAGATAAAATTATACGACAGGGACGAGAAAGTAATTTTTTGTATCTTTTGGCTTTTGTGAGCTTTAATGGAATACATTTGAAACGAGATAATGACACTGAAACGTTGATGATATCGTGAAATATAACTTTCTCTGTGAATTTCGAATATTTGGGCATATCGTTCATATTTTTACTATCGAATATTTCAGAATATTTATAGTTAAATATTTATCAATATTTATAGTTAGAACGACAACAGGAATGGAATATAGGAAATTGAGCTGCTATTGTGTTTCTGAAATTGAATCGTTACTCTACTTGTGAAACTAGAATTTTTAGAAAAATTCCAATTTTTAAACTGATCAAAATTTTAATTTCAAATATTACAAATCTTTTAAATTTCTATTTTTTTTTTACCTATTAATCTCTTTTTAAAATTTACACTTACAAGAAATTTACACTTTGCAAAATTGCAAAAATGGTAAAAAAAATCCTTTTTAAAAATAATCAAATCATTGTCGCAATAAAAAACTAAAATTCATCCGTCTATTATTCTTCATCGTGCAAGAAATACGATAAAAATATAAATAATTTATATCCATGTGAAATATTGCTTGTACAAATTTCGTAAAATTGCAAAAATCACAGAATTACGAAGATGAGGTCGAACAGTTAACGTAACACCGCCACAATAGAACGTGTCAAAGAGTCCTTATCCTTACGAGACGGAGGAATATAACGAAATAAATAATTCTCGATCACGTTACCCGATCAACCGAGAATTCGTGCTCGTTCTCTCTTTCGCGACAGGTATCTCGGCGTGAAAAGTGAAAATCTTGGCGTAAAATTGGCCACGGTTCGCTAAAGCGATTCATTGTCGCGTCGCTGTATGAATACGGGCATGATATCGATTCGAGAAACCATTACTATTTTCCTCGACAGGAAACCAGACACGTCGAGGTATCGAACTTCATCGCGAGGAATGTTTATTCAAGGGTTATTCGAAGGTTAATTAGTTTCTGGAAAAAGGATTTTCCGATTCGTTTAAAGCGATCGATACGATTGACATGATTTGTTCTACTGGTTAAAGGGTTACGAATTGTTCTTCACTTTTTTCTTTTTTCTAATAGTAGTATTAATGTCTCTTTTAATTCAAGAGTTTAATTTATTATTAATATTACAATGTAAGAATTATTTCGATATTGAGTTGAATTAAATTTTTTTAAGTTTGTTGGTTTTTTCTTGGAAAATTTAAAGAAATTTTGAAATATCGATTATTTGGTAATTTTTTCTGAATATTTTAATAGCTATTATGTGCTTAATTGGAGTAAGGAAAGATGCATGCGCGAGTAGAAAATAATATGAAGGGAAATGAACTGTATATGGTCAGACGTAGTACAGTTTAAAATTGATTTCTCTGCAGTTTTTTATCATTTATCATTTATATATTTAAATGTGGTACAGTTTTATTATTTAAACGTAATAAAAATCTTATGAAAATGTTATTTAAGGATAATGTTTAACAATAAAATTTACTTCAACAGTTGGAAGAAGAAAAAGTTTTTATTAAAAATGAATCGTTCAAAATGTAAAACTGATATATTTTAATGAATGAAGTTTAATGATGTTTAATATATTATAGAAATATACCAATTTATAATAAACTCTCTATATAATCTTCAAAGAGTGAAATAATTAATATATTTTATTATATATTTAAAATTGCATATATAATGAAGTAATATGAACCTATAAAGAAATAATGATTTTAATAGTTACAAAGAGAATTTAATCGAGAATTCTTTAAACAAATTATTAATAATTCCAATGAAATTTTATTCTTATTTATTATTTCGTAATAGATTTATTATTTTTATTGAAACAAGATTTAAATATTTGATTTAACGAATTATTGTATAATTTAAATAAAATGATGAATATATATTCCAGAATTTTTTCCAAACGTATTTTCGCTTCACGATCAATTTTCTTCATTTTATTCCCAATATCAAGGAAGAAATTAAAACGAAGAACGAATGAAAATTAAAATATGCCTACACGAGATCCAGAAGCGAAGCCTTAAAAGATCAAAGACTAATTTCTCAACCAAATTCACGACGTAAACGAGGTCAGTCCTCCATGAATCGAATAAAATCCCTAGATGAGCCGAAGATTGCGCCTCCAGCTAGTTAATGAATGTCATCCTACCAGTTCACTTTAAGAAGATACGTCACAAACTTTTGACGTTTCTCGTTCCACTAAGAATTAATTCCAGAATTTCTCTCTCTCTCTCTCTCTCTCTCTCTTTCTTCTATTTCAACACAAAACACTTTCATTGGACAAGAATCGATGAAGGAGGAAATTTTTTTGGAAAACTTATCATAATTTCACGAAAATCTTTTCTATCTTTATTTTCTTTTTTTTTTCTTTTTTTTGGTTTTGTTTATTTTTCACCATTTTATGCAAAAATTTTCATCAGTCAGGAGTATCTTCTTTTCAATATATTGACTTCACATTGAACGTGTTTGAAAAGTGTTTCGAAGCTCACCTGATGTGAATATTAAAGGTAAGTTTTCAAGAGGAATACGCTGGAAACAAAGAAAAAATTACTATTAGAAATGAATGGAAATTTAATGAATAGGATATGATGTAAAAGTTATTATGCAAAAATCTTGGTTGAGGCTTGTTTATTAAATTTAACGTTTGATGAAGCGAGAAATATTGTAATACATAACGGTATGGTGTAACAGAAATAAAGTGTCATTTCATTTCCGTCTAATTTCTTAATATCGCTTGAAATTTGAATTCATTAGAATAGAAATTGTATAGATTACATAATTGGTAAAAAGAAAGATAAAAAATGATTATATAAGCGAATCTTCTAAATATTCACAAAGAAATATAATTTTTCCTTTTAATCAAAATATAACATATTTTATTATTCCCATTTAAAATATATATTGACTGTTTATATTAATATTTGTCTTGCAAAAAACGTTACAAGAAAAGATAAAATTCTCGTTTTTTAAATAAATCTTTTTCCTATCATATTTATAAAGAGATATTTAAATTCCAAAAATAAATAAACAGACAAATTTGTTATATCATTTGAATTTATATACGATTTTCTGATAATTCGATTGAAATTAAATATCATGACATGATCGCGATCATGTCATTCGATTCATCGAGGGTTGTGCATAATTAATCAAGATACGTATTACGAAATAAATCACAATAAATGTTATTAAACTAATTCGTCGTTTTAACAGAATCGTGAATCTTGTCGAATGGAAAAAGGAATTCGTTACATAATAAACGTGAAACAAATCGATTTGTCAGGCGTATTTAATCATTACAAAATTTTTAATTCTCTGTTTATTATAAGAAGTTTCCCTCTTTTTAAACATAAAACACTCCCTGTTTGGGAACAAACTTTTTACAAACGTAGTTACGATTAATGATTTTATTTTTTATTTCCATCCATGCAAGGTTAAAGGGGGAAAAAATGGGAAAAATGGTAATTATTAATTATTTTTAACAGATATTAAATAAAATGTAAATTTTATTTTAATATAGAAAAGGGGTTAAAAATAATATGTTTTACATTTGGTTTAGTTATTATTTTTTTAAAGATATTGAAAAAAAATTATGCTTTGGAAAAATATATTTATTATTCTATCATTTGAATTAATTTTACATAAAAAAGAATTACGAAAATGTATAATTCTACCTAAACTTCAATTTTTAATATTTATTATCATATTGATATCATATTAATTTTTGATATCAAAATTTAAATTTCCATTGCAATTTCAATTTGAACAGTATCAGTATTGAATAAATAATGTAATCAATAAAAAAATGCATAAAATACATAATATCCTTGAATTAATTGCATAATATTCTTGAAAGATCACCCAATAAACTCCTTTTCGAATGAAATCTTTATTCGAATTGACCATAACTTCGGTTTAAATTGCAAC